TTTGAAACAACAGTGCCGTCACCCAATCAAGTCTCTCCAATAGGCTTTCTAGCAAAGAAGCATCCTCAACTCTGACAGAAAAGCCTGTAAAACCTGCATCTGCCTTTCTTCCTGTCGGAGAGGACTGTATAGTCCAGAAGTGGTATTCAAAAACACCCCACACACAAGCGTGCAGTTCTAATCTTGACTGAAGACATTTCCTGTAGGAAGGCAAGTGGAGTCAGCAGTTCAGATACTCTGTTCTGAAACCATTTAGGGTTTTAAGGGTTAAAGCCAGCACTTGAGTTGAGCTCAGAAATCTACTGACAACTTGCGTAGTTGTAGTAACACTGGCTTGATCTGTGGTTGGTCCAGTAAGTCCCTGACAGATCCCTTGCGTTGCATTTTGAACTTACTGTGGTTTCTGAACAGTCTTCAAGGCTACTACATAGAGTATATTACAGTAGTTTGACTTTGTTACCAAGGCTTACATGACTGAGGCAATGGGGAGAAGCATGAAGAAAGGGTAGGTTACTAGCCCCAGTAGCTGCATCCTTTTTCAATTTTCCATTGTCTGGTAGATTTTAGCCATGATTTCCAGGTGGCGAATTGGCCTCCTAGTTGTGGACTTTCTTCCTTATATGAGACCATAACAAAGCCCAGCACTATTTTGTGCCGCTCACCAGGGACCACATCTCCATGAATCACTGTGGTTGTCACTCCGTTACAGCTGACAGCTGTTATAGCGGTCGGTCGTACATACACTTTTGGTAGGAATTAACAAAGCTGTTTTGCACTGCTGGTTTTAAATACACCAGTTGGAATAAAATTATGGCATATATACAGCAAAATGCAAGCACAGAAGCCTTCCTTGTCTTTTCGTGAAGCTGAAAAAGGAGGGAGTGCAGCAAGGAAAAAAATTCACATCCTCAGGAAAAGAAATATGTATTAATCACTATTATACAGTTAACTAACTTAAAACCTTTTCTCCAGGTGGACTAGTACTGAAATCGTACACTCCTGGCTCGTCCTCTTACCTCAGTGGGGTTTCTAAATTGACTCATTCATGATTTAAGTTCTTCAGGATGGTTTTTTTTAAAAACCAAATTCTATCTTTAAAAGTTACCTCCTCAGCGCTCTCAAAAAGTATAGCAAAATGCGGGGAGAAGAAAAGAGAAATCTTACGAGGTTTCTTAAGTGGGGAAAGAAGAGAAAAATTGTCCAGACAAATTGAAAGTATTACTCCATTGGAGGGTTTTTCCAAGGTAACTTTCTCTCTAAAACTGGGAAAATAGATATTTCATTGTAATTTTGCTGTGAGGGCTTCACTGCAAAATACAGTTCCAGAAATGAACTAAGCTTGGTGGCTAGAAGTCAACTTTCCCCAAAAGATCAAGGAATGTATCTACATTTTGGGTACCTTTAAGTATTAGTAGACAAAGAAGAATCACATTATGTCTAATTCTGGTGGTAGCGGCAACAAGTAGCTATTCCTTGCAGCATTTTTCTGCTTACCTAATACAGCTGCTGTTTATGGTACAAGAAGAATAAAGTGGTGCAGAGCAAGAGAAATCCTAAAAGAAAAACTAAGAAGAGCAGGAGGAGGTTTTTATACCCCACTTTTCTCTGCCTTAAGATGTCTCAAAGCAGCTTACAATCTCCTTCCCTTCCTCTCCCCACAACAGGTACCTTCTGAGGCAGGTGAGGCTGAGAGAGCTCTGAGAGAACTGACTGGCCCAAGGCCACCCAGCAGGCTTCATGTGGCGGAGTGGGGAATCAAACCCAGTTCTCCAGGCTAGAGTCTGCTGCTCTCAACTACTACACCACAAGGCACTTCAGTGAAAGTAAAGTATTTAAGTCCAGTGTTGGAAGCAGGATACAAGAACCAAAGATTAGATGCCTAGTTTGGTGTAGTGTTTGGTGTAGTGGTTAAGTGCGCGGACTCTTAATTTGGGAGAACCAGGTTTGATTCCCCACTCCTCCACTTGCACCTGGCTGGATGGCCTTGGGCAAGCCGTAACTCTGATAAGAGCTGTTCTTGAAAAAGAGCAGTTTCTGTCAAGAGCTCTCTCAGCCCCACCTACCTCACAGGGTGTCTGTTGTGGGGAGGGGAAGGGAAAGGTGTTTGTAAGCCGCTCTGAGACTCCTTTGGGTAGTGAAGGGCGGGGTATAAATCCAATCTCTTCTCTTCTTCTTCTCTTCTAGTAAAATTATCTTAACAGGTTATATTTACCGAATGTTTATCATAGCTGCAGATCGTGGTAGTGGAGGAGAAAACAGTACATGAGGAATAATTGGCTAAATTGCATCACGTTGGTGAAATGTTTACAGATAGCAGTCTGTAGATGAGTCAGAAATATGATACTGTACCTCAAGAGGCCAGAAAAAAGAGAATTCACTGGACTCCCTGAAGATGGCAAAGGGGTTTGTGAATGCAAACCATTTGGGGTTAGGCTGGAGAACTGGGTGTGGAAAGAAGAGAGAGGTTAAATAGACTGACCACTGTCAGATACAGGAAAAGGGGCATAACTCTTTGCTTTTCCTCCTGGGCATTTTTGAACAAAGGTTACCAGGCATCTAGCAGGGATGTTTTGGGATGGGTAACTGGTTTAGAACAGGGGGTAGGCAGTTCCAGCACGTGTGCCACACCAGAACATTTGCTTTGGCACCCAGGGCTGTCCCAAGTGACACCGAGGCAAGTCTGTTAGTGCCACTAGGGGCAGCAGTATAGGCACCCGGCATGGTTTAGGATTGTCATGGCTTCTCAGTCCCAGAGTGGGAACTTCCCAGACTGCAACACTGCAGGGGCCCAGCTTGCCCCCCGTGTGTCCGGCCAAGTACGATCCTCATGTCCCCCTCTCTGCTCCTGACCACCATTTTGCCAGCACACCAATCTCATTGCAGACAATAATTCATGGTTTGTTTTTGACACTTCCCCCCCCAGGTAGCCTAACCCCTGGCTTAGAGCTGCTGACTTCCTTTCAGCTGTCTGGATCTCTAGTTCCCCAGGAGTGCATTGTGATCCTTCCTATCAGTTTATGCTTTCTCATTCTGGTTGCTGTATTTCTTCGATGGTTTGTCTTAAATATTGTTCCCATGCACAGTGGGCCAGTTTACTTTTGGGGTCTTTGGTATACATACTTGCGGTGCGGCAAAGCGAGGGTGACTCCAGTTGTTCTCCCAATCAACTTGTGCATCAAGCATTTTAGGTCTTTTTTTTCAAGTTTTTTTTTTTTTTTACTATACAACAGAATACGTTTTAAATACGTCCCATGCAGAATCGCCAGCAGCTCAGCTGCAGTCGTGGAGTACATTGCAGAAGTGTTTTCTCCACATTGTGAACCATGTCAAACGTTCGGGGGGAGGGAGGGGGGGAGAGAATGGGACAAAAACAAAATAAAGAATACTGGAAGCCAGGAGGTTTAAAAAGTCACAGCATGCTGTCAGATTCTTTTCAGAGCCCAAAGAAAATCCCATAGGGGCCGTTCAGAGGAAAAGTTACGCAGTGTGTAGCACTAAAATCTGAAGAGTGGCTCCCCAGGAAGTGCATTCATCGTGTCAAATGTTCCTGAATTGGCCTGGCTCCTATCTTCGACCGCAAATCCAAATTGAGCTTGCTAACCTAAGAGGCAGAGGTGCTGGCCAAGCCAAATGGAACATTATTAATTTGGGGGCTTGAATATAAAACAGCTGGGTTGGGGGGGGGGACGGACAAGGATGTATTTTTTTATGCCGAAAGACCTAAGTGATATCACGCTGTGTGAGAGAAAATTGCAAAACGCTCCAGTCCTTTACTCTGCACTCAATCACGGCGATCGTGGAGGCCGAGCAGTAATTCCTGGTCTCCGCGATGCCAAAAAGCTCTTTGATATCATTTCATGGTCATGTAAAAACAACAGCTCTGTGGCAACGGTTTTAATTCACAGCAATACGGATCGCCGAGATGACTTATTCCTATAATCACTGTGGCAGCAGGATTGTTTTGTGTTAGTTTTCT